TCCAGCAACATTTATGTTCATGAGGAATAAATTTCAGCTGCTTTTGAAGATGAGCCACTGCAGTAAATAAACCTGGCAAAAAGCTGCAAAGGACCCAGTTCACATTAAAATGCACCACAGTGGGACGTTAACCTCAACTGCAGTAACAGGACTATGTTAAATTCCCGATATGGGCAATTATGCAAGAAATTAGATCCACTTGTACACAGCTTCAAAGAACACTATGCCTTTATGGAAGATGATACATGCTATGCTAGCTTTAACTCCTGTTTCCATACATTTTTTCCGCCAATGCATGTCCCCACAGCAAGCAAGGGAGACTACTCCTTATTTTGCAGACCCTTCACTTGTTACAGTCATTGATTTAAATGTCAACTTTCTTAGCAAGTGTTTACCAGATGCAGGTTTGGTTATTATTAATTAAATGTGACAGCAGGTTCCTGGAATAGATAAATTTTTACCACAACTTCACCTGTCCCATCTTCTCAGCCTGGAATATCCCTTACAGTATTATGCAGGCAAAAAAAAAAAAAAAAAGTAAAAAATTTTTCAGTGAGGAAAACAAAAAACCCAAGACAAGCATATGCTTTTAAAAAAAGCAAAACAGCAACACTGAAGAATAAGGAAGAAAACTTCAACAGCTTGTGGCATTTCTAATGCAAAAAGGACAATTAATTAATAGCTTAATGACTCATCTACATTCACAAGAGAGTTCCACTGAAACCAGCAACATTATGGAGTGTTTCTGTCATGAGCCACCAGACAAATCCTGGGCAGAACTACAACTCTCTTGGCCTTGCTCTGTAATAAAATTATCACTGGAAACTTACTGCACTTTATGCTGACATGCAAATAAAGAAGAGCATTTCTGAGTCCCACAATATTCCTAGGAGAGCGTCCCACAAATTTGTGGTCCAGATAAACAAAGCTGCCTGCACTGTGGTTAAGTCCCTTTCACTTGAAACTGGGCACAAAGGCACCACCAACTCAGCTCAAGGGCAGCTGCAGTCGATAAGGAAGCACTGAAACCCTGCTGGAAGTGACTTATGTTGGCATTTACCTGTGGGAGAAGTGCCAGTTCAGCTGGTGGTCCAGGCTTCCAGGTCAGCTCTCCAGAAGGCAGATCCCTCAGGCTTCTCCAGGATGCAGTGTTAAGAGAGTCTCCCTTACACTAGGCAGCCCAAGGCTTACCTCTTTTGGCAGCAGGAGCTCTCAGCAGCTGCATTCTCAGGAATTAAGGGGGCTGGAGCGGGAAGCAAGAATGGATTCCACTGGTCACAAAGACCATGAATGCTGTTAACAGTCTGTGGCACATCCAAAGTCCATGCGAATGGAGAAATGGAAAAAACATGTCACTCTGCCCACAAGTGAGCTCGCACACAAGACAGGACACTACCATTAAAGAAGAGATGAATTCTCAGGAAGGACTCACTAGAAAGATTCCAAGTGCAGCCCTATTATTCATACGAAACCCATAGCAGCCTGGCAATGAAGAAACATTAAATGCATGGTGGTAAAACTTTTTTTTTTTCTTTTTTATTTAAAATATCATTATAACCAACTGACATACTAGATAACAATGTATACATTCCAGTGGTGCACATGTAATGACCTATGGCATGAATGAGTTAAAAAAACCCCACAATGTTCTCAGTAATGCCCACCAACAGCTTATTTGGAAGGAATAAAGGAAAAGCAGGAAAAGGTATCAAATGTGGGGAAGAAAAAAAAATTAGCTTTCCCCAGTATTTTTAATGGTGTATCTTCCCCTTCGTATTTCTTGGGACATAATAAAATTAAGAATATACTTCAAGAAGGGCAAAAGGAATGATCACAATAATTGGGGTGGGATTTTTTTTCTCAACTTTAGTAATAAAAGTTCAAGAACTCTCAAAAATAGACTAGATATTGGGCCTACAAAAGTAATTCATCTGTATGCAAAGCTTACCAAGAATTATTCCTTTTGTAAAATGTAAAGGATGAGCTGACATTGCTAGTAAGCTATTTTTACCCTACAAAACCAGACTACAATAATAAAATCACCAATTTACAGCTAACACAATAATCTAGATGTACATTACTGTACACAGGCTATATATATATTACACATGAACATCTTACGTGAAATAGATAAGAAACATATTGATATTGTCTCAACATTGGCCAGTAGGTTTGTTTTTCTAAAGAAGGTGTATTTTCTCTTCACATTCAGTGTAGCTCCAATAGCAAGGGTTAGCTTTGCTTACTTAAGAAACGTAGAAAGTTTGTGTGAGGTAGTTCAAGAAAACCTAGCTTAAGTTTTGAACTGCTAAAATAGAAACACAATGTGATCTGATTCATAACACAGTTCTGTAACACAGACATACAAAGAGAAGGGAGTGAGAGAGACCACATAAAATACTACTTTAATCCAGTGCCCTTAACTAAGAGTAAATTAATTGAAAATTTGGGTAGGCAGTAAAGTCTTATCACACTGCTTCAATAAAAATCTCTTTCTAATTCTGCTGAAAAATGCAGACAGGCTCTCCTTCAACTGCTCCAAACCACTGACAGGAAAACGTAACGGTATGGGCAAGCTCTTGCCAAAAGCAAATAAAAACAGATCTAGAAATTGTAATTCACTCCCTTTATCAACTTGTAAAGTAAGACCAAGTATAAGTTAACCTTCTTCTCCCCTTTTGCCCATTATCTTTATCAAGAAACCTTTACTGTCATATACTTCAGATTATTGGCTGGGTAGGACCATCCTCCTTAGGTTTTTGACATTTTCCTTCATGCACTGCTGAGCTGAATGCTCCATCCATCCATCTATCCCAGAGCCTTAGCCCAGGAACTCAGTGCTGGCCCCACCAAGCCTGGACAGCAGAGCCCTACTGGAACAGTTCATGCCAGGGACACAGGACACTCCCACACCACACCACTGGTATGGATGCTGTGTTGAGCTGGAATTCCTGCCCAGAAAGATGCTGCTGCATCTCACATAGTAAAAGTTCTTCAGAGCTAAAAGCCCAAAGTGCCACATCTGCTCAGCTGAGGGAGTTGTGCTCGGGCAGCACAGCTGCTCACACACACTGACACATCAGCTCTGACCCACTGTCCTGCACCAACCAAAAGCTTCCCAGCAAAGCGTCCCAGTACACTCTAAGGGTACTAATTCCACTCCATCTCTATTTCAAGTTCTTGAACAACCTACTTCTACAGGAGAGCTGCTTTACTCCTGCTGCATGCCACAGCTTTGCCCAGAGAAGGCAGAAATCAATCTCGCTATTACTGCCCAACTTTGAACCTCACCTGAGGTAAGAGATCAGACAGCTCATGGTAATTCAATCCATATCAACTCCCAGTGGATTGGAATGGCCTTAAAAAGTTGCATACACTTCAGTGATGCCTGCTGTCTTAAGATTCCAAATCAAAGTTTAAAATAAAACTTAACAATCCTTTAAAATTGTACAGTGTATTGGATAGCATATAAGCCAAAAATAGACAAAGACAGCTGAATTCCACTTACCCGTTTGTTTGCTATCTATGGCAGTGTACACCTGTCTGAAAAAAGTTTATATTTCAACAAATAAAAAGTGAAGACTAGGATGCTGTTGTGATAATTTGATTACCGAATATGATTTTGTCTTTGAAATTTGCCATCACTTTAATTTGCTAAAATGCAAGAAACTAAGAAAAAGAAAAAGCAATACTCCTGTGAAGACGGTGCCAAAAGTGAACTCTTGGTTTGCACAGACAAAGGTCTGAGCCTACTGAAACAATCCCTTTGAGCACAGCTTGCTCACACACTGCAACAGGCTGCAGTGGGCAGTTTCACACATTCACTAACATTGTCTTGAAAGAAGAAAATCTCAATTCTTCTTAGCATTTATGAGCTCAGGTCAGTTACTATATATTTTGGACACTGAAAAGTGATAGCAAAAAATAAGTTTCAAAATATTTCAATCATCACTGCAACCCAGTGGGGTCTAAATAAATTTATATAGGAACTATATTACCAATTTGTTTTTAACAGCACTGAGAGGCATCAGAAGTACTTTTGTCATTCTTAACTTCATTACACTGTGCTGACCACACTATCACTTGACCCTATATAACAACGGAGTACTGTTGTTTGACCAAAAATTTTGGCTTAATTCACAGCTTAAACTTTGATAAAAAAATTACAAAACAGACTGTTCCATTGGTCTCTGTTCAACATTTTCTACATTCTACATTTTTCTACTAGATGAATCCAAACTTGTCCTGCCTGTTCTGAGGTAATATACAATTTGGCAGGATCCTGCAAAAATAATTGCCTTAACAACAACAGGAAGGCAATACTGAAATATTAGATCTAAGCGAGGAAAGCAAAATTACACGCACACAGCACTTACCAGCAGTCTAGCCAGGCCAGGAAAACAACTGTGCAGTTTATCAATTTTGTTATCTTTGAGACATTACCATTCCTTGCAACCCTTCATGTTTTTAAAAAAGACATGTTGGACATTGGCATAACTATCACTTCTATTTTTCTGAAACTCACTGCAAAGACAAATATTCCTCTTGCAGTTAAAGCTTCAAAAAGATGCTTTTTTAACCCAACAAGCAGAAGGAACCACACTGAAGACCACCAGTCACTCCTGGATGACCTCTGCAGGCAGTTACATTATTTGCTTACGTTCAGTGCCTGGCAAGACTTCTGTATCTTTTATGCCCATTTTTGTGAGCTTCACTAATTTGAATTCCTCTTCACATTCTAATTCACTACACAAAATATGCATCTACACAAGGCAATCAATTATACAGCCTAGCTATGTAAAAATCTGCATTTTCCAAAGAAGAAATAAATTCTGAATGATTGTTTAACTCATACATAAACTTAAGTCAGTTATACATAAATCATTCTGTAAATATAAAATGTAAACAGTTAAAATACTTCTGTGAGGAGCAGCACCATCTTACATGACTATTTATTAACTGTTCTATATATCTCAATATATCATTTGTTTAAAAAGTGTATTGAAACCTGGAGCTTTATTGAATATTTATGACTTAAAATGAACCACTGCTAAGACTTCTGCTACACTGATCTCATGGTGAAATTAAAGAGATAAATATTAATTTACACAGAACTACTTCTCCCCCCTTTGGATGGCATATATTGCTCAATTAATGCATTAGCTACAGAAATCCTGAGGTTCTCCTACCACTTCATGGTTTTTAGCAATCAGTTACTTTTGGTGGAGAAAGAGTAGCTGAAGTTTTGCCCCCACTGCATTCATGTCATTCCCTCTTTGACCCAAAAAAAGCACTCAAAAAGTACTTGCCTTAGTAGACAAAACTAGTAAGAATCACAACTCCCAAGAATCACATCTCACATGAAAGTATAGCTACAGCATATTTGTTTTCCCTCTTGTCAGTCTAAACATCCTGGATACACTTCATTTCTTGTGTACAAAAACAGGCTACAAGCTAGAAGTAAACAGTTTATTGGCATTGAAATGTATTATTCATGAAGTATCCTCATGTTTTATGGTGATCACAAGATTTGGCATGCCACAACTCTGCAGAAAACATCATATTACTCTGCTAGGCTGGATATTTCTGCAGCTTTGAAGATATGCTTTACTTTCTTAAGTTCATAAACCCATGCAGATAATGTTACTTTGCAAAGGTTTTTTTCAGTTTCTCTAAAAAATACCCTCACTAATTGTTGCTTTTGCTGAAGTATTATAGGCAAGTGGCCAAAATAAAAGAGGATTTTGTTCACTACCCAGCATCACAGTAGTATGCCTGAAACTACAGCCGGCTCCACTGAATTCTCTCTCCCTCCACCTGGACACAGATGTATGACCAAGCATAAAACTTTGAAGGATATCATGAACAAAACATCTGGAATAAATTCTAATTAAAAAATTGAAAACCTATAAAATCTTAAATAATTCATCATATGGTAATGACCACAACATTAATATGTGCTTTGATAAAACAAATCTTACAAATTCAGTAAAAAAAGATCAGCAGCATAATAGTAAAGCAAATATGCAGATTTTAAAACCACAATAAAAATTACCAGGTTTAATATTTTACAGTTAATTACAGCAAAAAAGTGGCTGCTTATAACACAACTTACAGTTTGAAATTACAGCACTTTATGATGAATTCCATGATTATTTTTGAAAAAACACTCAAAAATACCACCAAATTTTAAAAGTGCCCTATTAATGACTAAAAGGACCCCCCCCTCCCACCCCCCAAAAGACCAAGTAGTCATCTACAGCAACCCAGAGGTCCAGCTGAGGTTTCTAGACTGCTGTCTGTATCAGAGGCCAATGTTGGATCTGTTGACATTGAAGACACATCGTTGACAGATGACGATGAAGATGGGTGTTGAGAGCCATTGATCATTGCTGCACCTGTGCTATGAGAAACAAAACAGCAAATCAGTTGCAGATACAGTTGCACAGTTCAGTACTTGCATTAGTCTGTCTCTTCCTAATGGCTGTTACTTTTCCTTGTTTTGGCAAGTTTGAAGAGATGTGTCTCAGTCCACTGTTAAAATAAATAAAGCCCAAAGTCTTTAATGTGGGGCTTAACAGATGAGGTGTCAGGAATTTAAATCAATGAAACATCGATTACATAGGGACAATGATATGGGGATTGAACACATCAATAAAAAATGTCTGTCCTGAATATTCCACTCAAATATACAATGTCTCAGTGCCTCAGTTCAAGAGGCGTTTAAGAGCCATATTTTTGAGTTAGGTTACTTTTGTATGTCTTGATGAGCTTTATTCCCTCCTGACCTAAAAGTCAGTGGAGCCTTGTACTGTGCTTTTATTGTAACCAACCTAAAGGGGCTGGTTGGCCACGTATAACCCCGTTCTTGGTTCTCTCCTCCAGGTCCATGACTTCCTTGTATATCAACTCTGAAAATGCAGAGAAAGGAAGGCAAAAAATGAATTTGCAACACAAAGACTAGATCAATAATACATGTCTCGTTAAAATGTCCACTTGAATTTCATATGTCTGTTACTGTTCAGAATTAATTTTGAACAACGGGTCATAGGCTACACAACAACTGGCAAGTGATGTAAAAAAGTACATTCTTTTCTGCTGGGGTTACAGTGGCCAGGCACTCTTGAGAACACACTAGCATTGCTCTAGGGCTGTTTTATTCAGGCTGCTTGGAGACCTGAGACTAAGCTGAGTCTTAAGGGCCACTCAATTTTTATCAATGGCTTCTTTGGTAAGGGAAACTCAATCAGCAATCTTCAAAGGAAGAGCTAGGAACACCTGAAGGCTTTTCCTTCGAATTGAGCATTACATTGTTCAGGCTCCTGCATCTTTTTCAATTGTAGCAGTTTGTCCAGAAGAGTGACCCTCCCTACAAATGCTGTCCTATGGATTGCAAAAGGTGACTGACATGAGCAGGTCTTTAGGTCACTTCACAAGTTCACCTCCTTTGCAGGAAAAGTTTGTGGCCCAGCAACTGAGAAGCTGTGAAGTACTGGTCTGTTTCCCTGACATCTAAGCAGATCAGGTAAATACTATTATGTTGCTCAGAACAACTTTAATAACAATAATACCTGGGGCCCAGCATATTCCCAAAAGGCTTATTATACTTCAAATGCCTTTCTTACCTTTCCACTCTTCTATCGTGTGCTCCCTCTCATCTAACTGCTTATCTGGTATCTTTGGTGGAGGCTGAAAAACAAAACTAACTCATCATACAGCAATCAAAAGGGATACAGAACCAGTATAAACTAAAAATAAAATAAACCATTCAATGAACCTGATTTAAAAATAACATTTACAGGATTATATATCTGGTCATACTTGGACTTAGCCTGTTTTTTAGATGCTACCACAGTCTTTAAAGTTCTTCCGATTAACAAATTTGTTTACATTACTGTAATAATTAACAGAGAAACTGATCAGTCTGGTAGAAGAGCTCCTAAGTGTAGCAGTCTCCAGCACAAGCAGCTCTTTTTAGCTACTTACTGTTAATTACTAAATTTTCTATCTAGCTATTAGAGAGCAACAGAATTATAATTGCTCTCTTTATATCAAGTAGCCTTTTCTATTCTTAGTGGCCATCACCAAACTTTTCTTTTTAAAAAAATAACACTTTTCTCATAAACTGAAATTATCCTGGAACTAATTTCTCAAGGAAAAAATTTACATTATTCCTTTGTTCATTACTTTTAATAACTGAAAGCTCAAGATCTTGTATTCAGATTTTGCTGAAACACTTATTTTTAGTTGAAGAATTGTATCAATTCCTGCAACTAATGAAAGCATTTTGCTTCCCCAAGAATAACTACCTCAGAACCCCATCCAGGGCAATCAAATCACACTGAAACAAGCAAGGCTTGCTACATTAGAACCCTACAGAAAAGATTTCAGATGCATGATTATATGTTCAGGAGATGACAGGCAACTATACACCAACACAGAGATACAAGAACACACAGGTACCTCAGCCCATGCCTGATGCTATTTCTAATAAGCACATCTATCAATGTCAATAAAAACAATTATGGCTCAGTTAAGTTTCTAATGAAATATGCAACAATCTTTTGTCAAGCAGCTGTACCAAGCATCACAGTCAGATGACTTTATCCAGCAGATTCCTAAGCAGAGACCTAAAACAAGAACTTACAGCTTCTGCTTCTGATGGATCATACCAAACATTGATGTATGGGTGCTGCAGGGCTTCATCCACAGAGATTCTTTTAGAAGCATCTATAACCAGCATTTTTGATAACAAATCTCTTGCTTGACTTGCTGCAAAAATAAAATTTTCTGTTTAGATTGCTGCCATATATAGAACACAAAACACAGTGTTTCAAACCTTTAAAGAGACGGGTCAGAGTAATCCAGTTCAAATTAAATGTCTATGCAACCCTCACATAGTATGAGGTTTAGGAGAGCAGTTGATTTGATGGCAAAAAAACCTGAAGAGGATGTCACAGGTGGGAAAGGTGTCAAACATGTTTCACTACCCATTTTCATCATACAGTGTCCCTTGTTGTGACATCTTTATGTGAAACAGCTCAGGTGGCAGTGCAGCCTGGTCTTGAATAGCAGCAGGCAAGCACCTACTGCCCCTACCTACATGCTTTTCGCCACAGAGAACACCATGAGGGGACTCCACTGAATAGGTGGCCTTTAGAACCAGTAAGTCACTGAAATAACTACAGAGTATCTATGTATTATGAACATAAATTCCTTATTTTCATCCCTAGAGAACAAAGACCTGCTCTGCCTACACAACTTCTATTCCAACCTCCCCCCACTTTTCTCTAAACTGTGTTGGCATCTGTCATTGAGAAGAATATAGATATTTACATATTTTTATAAAGACATCTCCAAGAATAGGAGCTGTCTCATGAAGATATGAAAGTGGAGGCAAACACATGTCAGCACATTCATCCACTCTCATGATATAAATATTTAGAGCCTCAGCAGCATGATTCTACAGTGAAAAAAACCAAGCTACACTTCTGCTCAAAAATCACAGTTTTAAAACTTTTAGAACATAAAACACACAGAAGAAAGACTTTACCTTTAAGTTTATTGTGTTCGGAGTCAGCTGGGAAAAGGACATCTGGAAAGAGTTTTTCAAAACTATATCCAGCATATTTAGGTCTGTTCTCCACGTAAGTTCGGACTGTAGGCTGTAGTTTCTTCATAAATTCGGGGCATGGTGTTCCTAGCTGCTCTATAACTTTATTCCATTGATCAATATCTAAGGTAATGTAGCTAAGAAAAACACTGTGTCTGGTTTTCAGCTAGAAAGTTATGTTAAAAGCACATGAAATAACCAACAGAGAAAACACGGGAAATTATAATAAAGTATCAAGTTCATTATCATGAATTAGGACTACTTTCTTACATGATGAAACAAAGCAAGACTATGGTAGTGTAGTCAAGGCAACACGTATTTCACTCAAAATCATTTTCTGGCTAGAAAAGGATATAATTCTGAGAAACAGAATATTAGAAGACTCACAGAATATTTAAACACAACAAATTTAACTTAAGTCCTTGGGTCTGAGTCCGAGAGAACTGGTCTGAACACACATTGCAGCAGTCAAGCTATTAAGCATCATCAAGGCACTCCTGAGAATGACCCCAAGTGGGTGCTTTGTCCTTCATTCTCATCTTGGTACCTCAGGCCAGACCTGGGCAACCTCTCACCAAGGACATGCAACACTCAGCACCAGTGGGCACACAAAGGACCAAGGCTTGGCCCACACAGGTCAGTGACAATACTGTCAGGGACCTGAATGAAGTTACAAGGTTTCAAGGATGCATAAGGAACATCTTAACTGAGAAGTTTACACACTTTAAAGGGGAGATTGACCATTTCAGGACAGAAGAACTTAATGCATTTTACTGAAACAACAAAAAGTAAAGTTTGGCTCAGGAATTCCTAATTGCAGATAGTTAAATACTGGGGGAGAGCTCAGATAAAATTTTATATCCACTAATTCACATTTTCCCCAACTTTTTCTCTTTGGCTGCCATCAAAGACTGGATTCCAGGCTATCTAAATCAACAGTGGGTTGAAGCAGACCCTCTCTTATATTCTTAAAACTTAACAGCATATCTCTATATAAGGATTCTCAAGCTCTGCTGAGCTTTAATACAGGCCTTGACAAAAGGAACTATTTATGTTGTATGGCACCAAGTTTAAACTGAAAAGCCATGCCAGCAAACCGGATGCATAAAGCAAAGCATGGTGCAGCTCATGCAATGACAGAGCTGTGTGAAAGTAAGGATGCTCTGGATTTCCTTACCATGGCTCAAAAATCTCCATCCCATTTTCACCCCTAAATGGTACTGTATCAATTTATAAACAGTACGCTGTACCAAAAGCAGGAAACATTTCTGATGCCATCTTAAAAAAACAGTCTGAAAATAATAGTAAAACAAATAGGATACCAAAGTCCAATTATTTTCACTAATTTTAGCAAAGATCTAGAGGTGTTAGTTCTGTTTGGAGCAGACTCTTTGTCTGAAATACTATTCACAGGACAACCCATATAGACACCATCAAACCATTCACACAATAGAAATACCAGATATTTCTAAAAGCTCCTTGCAGGATCAGTTCTGCATACAAAAAATAAGTCTCCAGAGTGTAACTAATGAAGATGGTTAGGAATTTTGGTAAACGCTCTCTATAAAATGCAAAGAATAGTAACTATTAACTCAGGTACTAAAAAAGTTTAGTAAATTACTATATAAAAAAGAATTCTGAAGTAAAACCCAATGCATGTGAATTCCAGGAAAACACCATCTAAACAAAAAGAAGTCTGTCTTAGTGTGACAACATTCAAAAGTAATGGATAAGGACTCTATTACAGTGGAAAAAGAAAAGACGAGGGGAAAAAAGGAAAAAGAAAAAAAATAAGCCTATTTGCCCAAGTGGTATATAATGAACTTGCAAACTGATATTTGAAAAGGCAGTTTAAAAACAATATTTTTAAAATTAGAACCACCTTAATCTGGAATTGTATCACTGCAGTATCTTTTGACCTTTTACAACTACATCCCAGACCAAGGGTAAGGATACGATCTGTACCAGGAAATAAAACACCACCTTTGATCATTTCTCCCATGATGCACCCAACTGACCAAATGTCAACTGAAAACAAAATGCAATGACATTAACATAAAAGATACTTATTAAAATAAAATAAATAAAAATATCTAGACACACATACACATGAAGTGACTATAAAAAGCATGTGCAATGAAAATGAGTGAAGGTGAATGGATGCTAACTACAGGGCCAGCAGAGACTATGTCCTACTGCTAGGTGCAGCCTGAATAGAAATGATTTTTTTTAAGTGTATCACAAGAAAAATCCATGTTCATTTAATAAAAAAAAAATTGTACAATATGCATCTTCATGACACAACATCAATAAGAAGGTTAATCACTTCCTAACTAATTCAACCTGCTGCAGCAGCACAAGGATACAGTCCCTTCCTGGAAAGAGGATTTTGTGGCAAACCATTTCGCCCATAATGCACCCCACAGACCATAAATCCACTATGTTTGTAGCACAAAAAGAAGGAAAAGCAAAGCAAACGGTCATTTAAAATTAAAAGAAGCATAACGTGACTGCATCCTATAAACTGCAGAGACAGCACAGGAAGAAGAGCAAGTCTTTGCATTAACCAATGAAAACAGTCTAGCATACACCATGTGTAAGGATTAGCTTTTAACTGTCTCAAATACAAGGCAGAAAAACATCCTTTTGTTTAATGTAGTGCTAAAGCAAGAGCTTGAGCAGAGAGAGAGAGACACAAATCAAGCAGAGTAAAGCACTTTCTCCAAGGCTGGAGGCTTCAAAGCTACCTCTGCCAAGGGAACAGATTCAACCACCACAGACAGATTGATTCCTTGAAAGTAATTCCACTGTAGTTGCAGGAATAATTCTAAAATTAATTACGTAAACTGACGTGTAAAAATATTGCCTATTGAAACAGTTCATGCTTTTTAAGAGAATTACAGGATTTACAATTTGACATCAAGTATTTCCTAGAAGTCAGATTACCATGCATCTCTCTCTCATTTTAAATAAAAAGCAAACAGAATCAGTAAAAGATCACTTAGAATTTTAGAGGATCAGTTAATGACAATGTTAGTATGCTCCTACATTTTCAGTTCAAATAATTTGTTTTAAAATATGTCTCCAGTTACACTGAAATAACATTTTATACAAAAGAAAAACTTAAAAGCAATTTTTTAAAAATATGCATTTTCTACATTACCTTAAAATAAATCACTCAGAAGACATAAAGATGGACAAGTTTACTTTGTATATGTAAGCCAATTTCTTTTGTAGTTACTTTCAGAAGTATTGTTAATTCCATATGCAAAAGTTTTCTTGAAGTCATAACAATGAAATTTTATTATTATAAATACTTTTATGTCAAATAAGACACTGGAATTTCAATTAAGCAGATAAGAGGGGAATTTAAGTGACAACAATTGTATAGTAAGAATTTTATGTAAATGTTCTGAAGGAGCTCAACAATGCCAAGCAAGCAATATTGCTTCTTATTTTTCAATATTCCTTCTCCTTTATTTATTAAAGTTCCTCTAAAATAGTATCTAGATAATAGGATAGGAGATCATAGTTGTGCATATTAATAGGTCAAAATTAAGGGCCTTGCTCATTTAAAAAAATATTGTCAACACCTTAGTTTAGAGCTCTTTTTCCTTTAATTTTTTTTTTCAAATATTAAGTACATATTATTTGGCTTAGAGAATCAAAGAAGCCAAGTTTTGCATTTGACTTTTAAAATAATATTCTGAATTTTGACTTTTTTATCTGCAAACAACCTCCTACCATCATAACCCAAAATTACCCAAATCTCTTGTAATTAGCTTTGTCCAACATGATAAAGTTACCATTCTTCTTGTATCCCTACAAAATCAAACTTGAGATGTTTTGTGGTGTTTTGATTTGCTGCTTTCATTAAATCAAAGATCTCTCTAACTACAGGTCTCTAACTTTTGTAGCAAGCTGAACCAATGCTACTGTGAATACTTTTACAGAAGACTAAAATCTCATTACAGATTCGAAAAATACTTTAAAAAAATCTATTGCTGTCATAAGCATCCATTTTATTCTTAAGCCTGTGAACTTACTGATTTTTAAAACTCTAGGAGAAAAAATACCATGTGAAAATGAAGTTTAAACCCTATCTACCTAGTAGGAAACTTAACAGTAGTTGTTTCATAGTGTTTAAGGCTTTCCTTGTTTTTCAGTGTTGCCTTCCTGATAATCATGGACATAACAGTGCATAAATCTGTTAAGGAGTATGTGCACAAACAGTTCTGGTATCCTTTAGTTGGTTTCTTAATATGACACCCCCAAACATCCTTTGGTAACAAACCCTACATGAAAGTTAACTCTATGTATTTGTTTGGGCTTTCTAGTTTTAAAACAATTGAAGATTTTGTCTCTATGTAGTACAGCTCCAAAAAAATGTCATCCTGCAGTACATTATCTCAATCACCAAAATATATATTGCAATCCTCCCACAAGTTCAGCAGGGCACAAACTGCAGGAAACTGCCAGACAACCCCTAACCATTAGGAAACTGTCAATTTTCAAGATTTAACTCCACACTAAAAGTTAAACACACAGTTTAACTTTGGGTGTAATGGGCTATAATAGGCATCAATACTAACAGGTGAGGCCCCTGGACAGCCCATGGTTCTTGCTCTAAGTGCATCCTTGATATTCATCTGGCTGTCATGGCAGCTCCGCAAACTCCTTGGCAGAGAAGACTTAACAGCTCACATAAACTGCCTTTTAATGAGAGCAGTATGTATGGAAATGCAATTGTCTTTGGATTCACTCCATACATTTACATTCTCCAGAAGTGCCACTCTCATTTCAGTGACCATGTATTTGGCTTTGGGAAGACACGACAGCTTTTCAAATGAAAGTAAATTATTATTTATGATGCACAACACAACTCACGCTTCCATAAGGAATAGGATTGTCACAAGCTTGACAGGATACTCTAGAATACAATCTAACTCCAGTAGTGGAAAGAATGTTTCACGCTTTTGTAACCCAAAATTACTTACTATTTAAGAGAAAAATTTAAACCGGGTGATCTGAGTCAGAAAACTTCCGACTTTATAAATTCCTTCTGTAAGGCATCTGCATGACTCGCTACTACAACTTTAGGTACTTTCCTTTAGTGTCTCTTAAATAGCCAATATAAAAAAAAGACAAAATTAAATTTCCAAATCTAGAAAACTTTAGGAATTAAATAACTAACTTGCTGTACTCAGCCTGTGATTCCTAGATTACAGGAAAAACAGTCAACCATGGAGTACATTTAAAGAAATGTAGGCTCTCTCATGCACACTAACAACCTAAACAAGTAAGTATCTCAGTCTTGCAATAAAGATCTACTCATTCCTTTGAGCTGGCTTCTCTCATTGCTGGCACCATTCACACAGCCTGAAGTCAATTGCTGCAATGGTATGCAGTTGCCAGGCAGGTTTGCAGACTCTATGAGGAATGCTGAAAGGCAGAGCAAGCCTCAGTTGTGTCAGGAGATGAGGAACCAACCACACCTCACATCCCCAGGAGACAGCTCAAGGCCTCCTTGGAGGCCTGGCCAGCAGAGTTTGAAACCCACAGGTGAGCTGTGGGCACTGCCAGCCTGAGGGAGCTGCCTGAGCACGGGGACACACAGCAGTGCAATGGCAGCAGAACCAGGCTGCTCCAGTGCGTCAGCAGCGACACCGCACGTGGTTCTCCTAATGGCTGCCACTAGCCGTTTCCTTGAAGGTGCAATGTATTTGATGATGTGCTTCCCTCAAATGACAGACTTTTTTTATTTTCCTGTAGAAGACACTGAGAGGCAGACTGGTCACAGAGCAAGTATGGTGAGAAGGAAGTGTATGTGAAGTAAAATTCCCTTGGAATTTGTCATGGACCTCAAAAATCTGTCATGGACCTCAAGAATCTGTCATATTGACAGTACTCTCTGTATGCTTGTCTCAAATATATTATTGAGTTTTTCTTCAGCAACATTAAGAACTTAGTGCAAAAGGCTTAAAGGAGGTTGGTTTTAATAAAAAGCAATGCCACAGTAGGTAATCTTAACTTGCTTGTTCCTCAGTAGATTTATGCTCCCTACCTCCTGCAAGGCCATAACCAATAGAGTTATTTAGCACTGAATTTAGCACACTTATCTACTGAAGAATTACCATTTACATCTTCACCAGGAATGAAGTCAGATGAAGGTATATCAAAGTACATATCACATATTAAGAAAATATATTTCCAGTTCTTCCTGGATGTCATGTAATCTAAAAAGGAAGTTATTTAAAGTTTTAAACAAACAAGGCCCTCGATTTCTTCTCCTATTAAATGCAAACATTTTCTAATGGGTTGAGTTGAATAAACAAATTGGTGTATCCAGAATCTGCATTTTGGTCACAAGACTAATTTATAAAATTTCTACAGTTTGAAAAAAACATTAACATGTAAAATGTGGTGTGCCAAACATAAAAAATAAAGCTATGCCAAAGAAAGACTATATTTGCTGACCGTTTTCTTTGTATCCCATCCCTAGGATGACCTCTGGTGCTCTGTAGTAACGAGTCACTACATAAGGCGTCATCATAAAACTAGTTCCTGCAGTTCTGGCCAGTCCAAAGTCAAGAATCTTCAAAGTGCAGTCTGACTTTACTACTATATTACTGGGCTTTAAATCCTTAAAAAAGAAACATCATATATGACTGCTAAGACAAGCACAAAGTAGCCTGTGGTTCACATTTTAAAAAGATAATATTACTAACATTAAATCCCATGCACACAACTAGGTTATTGCTATAACTGCAGCTTTTTTCCCCTTGCATTAATTTATGTGCATTCAGCAGATTACAGAATTAATTCCTTTATTGTGCTTGTAGATTTATATAGCAATTAAAGAAGGAAAATACAACCAGCATTACAAGATATGTTAGCAATGTCTGAAATAAATTGAGGTTAGTAAGAAGTGTTAGCTCTCAGGAAAGGTCTACAAACTGCTCACTGGAACAGTAATTACTACTACAATGCAGAACACAAGTAACATGACAATTACTTGATTCAATAATTATCTTGATACAAGAATTATTAGAATTATAATGAATGTAAAAGGTTCATTTGCTAGTTAAGGTTACATTACCTCTTCTGAATCAATTTATTTCTCCCACATGGTATTAGTTTCCAATGTATGACTAGGTTTTATATTAAGTTTGGCAACCAAACCCAAAAAGGCACCACTGAAAAACTGCCAAAAATTCACACAATCCTTAAATTGAAGCGGAACATGCTGACATGGCTTCAGATCACTTGGGTTAGCAACATGGTAACTATTCTCTACACTTGAACCCTACTGACAATAGCACCTTTGCAACATTTATTTATACAAACACTACAGTGGCTTTCTCCTTCATCACCACAACAGGATCTTACACACACCTGAATGTCACAGAGTAAATATTAGAGTAACTTCAGAATAACTTTGCAATCGTAAGATCATTCATAGCACATGGGACAATACAAATAAGCCTAAGATACTTCCTCCCCACACTCTACTGAGATTAATGAGAGAAAAACCTGAGAGGTGACAGAGGACTCCCTCACCTGAGTAGTAATAATTTAATAAGTAGCCCTATCTAGTTATAAAGACCTAAAAGTGGATTTCTGCCAGATTTATGTAGTTTTCATTTGTACTTAGATGGCTTTCAGCAATCTCCTCATAATGGCTAATAAAACTGCATTAAAGATAGGAAGGAAACAACAAAGAGTTCCAGAACAACAGAATTTTAATGACTAGTTAAAAGTCTTGCATTTCACACATTTCCACACAAAGACTCTGCAGACAACTTTAGCTTAAAACATTCTCAAATACCACAAATTAATTTAAATTAATACTATAAGGCCTTCTATTATTATTCTATTAATTCTATAAGGCCTTCTGGCCATTTAATATGCCATGTTTCAGATTCTGCTACAGTCCTTTTTATTATCAGCTTTATTTCTACACACTGATTTTCAGGATGTTCATTGCAGAATGCCAGATGCATGCTCAGGGTATTAACTACACTCATCCTCCCCAAAGCTGCAGGATTAACACTCAAAATGTTAAGAGATCTTCTCTTTGCTTACCAAATGTTGTCCATTCTTATTTCTGAACACCATGTAGCTGTCATGAAGCCTAGGATCAAAATTATGAATTGACTTATACTACAATGAAATTCATGCAGAGATGCAAAACCTGCATCTCTTACATGTATCTTCTGTTAAAATAAACAGAAACTCAAAAGTTCATTTGGGAGTGATCAAATTAATTATGATGGATAAATACAACCAGAACCTATAGCAGAAAAATATTTCACTGAACTTTGAAAATGTAAAATGTCAGTGCTTAAGAAACAGATTCTTGTAGGACCGTCTCCCTATTAGCCAGACAAGGAGACAAGGACATCTCTGGAGGGTAATTTAAGGCTTCTGGGGGGCTTTTCTCTTTCTAACAGAAGATTTGTGAAGGGCTTGCATAATTAGGCCCCTTGTTAAGTACTCAAAGTCGGGCAGAATTCAATGTTTCAGAGCTGCCATGCGAGACTAATGAGCCACTCTTCGTCCCTCAGAAAGTCAGTGAGGCACAAATCCGCAGTGCTGATCACTCATCCTCAGACTGTGAAATATAAATGAATGTGTACTTCTATATTGCCTGAAAATTGCTTCTCTGCAAAATGTTTGGAACACAGTAATGTTGATTGGCCAGCATCTGTTAAAGTCAGTGCAAAGTTTTGGTCAAATCTTTACCCACTGATGTGGAAACTAAGCTTGCCCCTACAGCTTCAAGGTGAAGTTTACTGAAACTCATTGTGTTTGATCTCTGCCTTGCTCCTTGTGTCTCTAGGTTGCTATTAAAAAATCCCCACTTATTTCTATGGTAAGTAGTATCCAGTGCCGTCAGGCACAAATACAGATTTTTGTGATTTCAGTCATTCAACATGCTTTGAAAAAGTTACTGAGATGTTGAGATTACCACAGCTATGTTAGAAGCTGAAGAACCCAGTTAAAAAGCATGTGAAACTACCAACACCAAAAAAAAGCTTAAAGCTTTAGAGATCACTAAAGTAGAATATTAAAGTCATAGCCAGCTTGCTTTTTGGGCAGCCATAGTAGTACTGAAGGCTATGTTTAAGAAGTTTCAATAAAGTAATTAGCTTTGGACACTAAGGACTGGTGCTGAGAGCCCGGTAGCATGGTACAAAGAGCTACCGCCGCAGCCACACGGTCTGTGTGACACGTGGCCCTTTGAAGGACACCCTCCTTGTACTCCAAGGTTTTGTTCAGCTTCCTCCACAGAGAAAAAAAACAATGATACTTCACACCTTGAAGCCAAAGGCACAATTCACTCAGGAGGTAAGGCTGCGCCAGAATATCCTCAATCTTCTAACAAAGTCTAAGAAGAAGCTGTCAGCTGAAAATCTACCAGGAAGACATGCAAGTGAAATGTCCTTCAAAAGTATCTGCACATGTCCTTTAAAAGCATTCATGCATACATATGGTGCTATTTACATAGCAATTGTGTTTAGTCTCTTTAGGATAGTTTATGCCTGTATGACAGGAAGCATTTCAAAGACTTAACCCATATTTACAGAGGCAGGAATTCTATCTTCAAAGCTGTCTTCACTCTTGCCCAACTACCTATGTAGTTACTTTTCTATAAATGTAAAAATGTTTAAATTTATCCACAACTTCTACAGGATCAATGCCCACTTCAGAGGAGTACAAACCACCCTGAGGCAAAGCACACTTTTAGAAGGTCCCTTAAGCTTGTGCTAAGATCCTCAGAGAGACACTCTTACTTTACTTACTCTAGCATGTCCAGACAATACACTGTTTTCCAAAACAAAAAAAGATCTAGGAAAATGCACAGCATTAAACTTGCATACATAAATATTGCAGAGGAAATGTGAAAGTGGATTCAAACCATTATTTCAGACCCACGTGCACATACATCACAACACCACAGGCTGCATATTTTCAGTCATAGGCAATATAGCACCGCAATAGTAAGCGGAACAATCTAGTTTTGCTGAGCATTCCCAGAACAATGCAAAAGGCCCAAGTGACCTATCTCAAACACCCACAAGTAGACCAAGCAGACCAATTCAGGTACAATGCCTGGTTGCAGGCAATGCTTCTCCCTCCCTTGCTCATCTCTTCCAACATAGCAGTTCAGTGAAATTGCATGAAAGAAGGAAGGTTTCACCTTCATTCCCTGAGCTCCTCACTGGAATGAAGCAGCTGATGAGTACTAGAACTAGCTGAGCAAGAGGAAGCAGCATTTGCCCATTCAAGCTGTATTTTCTATTCAAATAATTTTCCCTGAGGAAAAGATGGCACACTGATCATGAATGTCAGACTGCAGATCCAGCTTGCAGACCACTCAACACCCCAGTGAGAATGAGACCCCACTGACCTGGACAAGCATCCTAACCAAATCCTGTGGCAGTGCACAGAATTGCCATTTGTGATCTGCTTTCCTGTGCACATCATGAGGAAGACTGTGCAGTAAGGTCTGAGACCATCCCACATCACTAAAGTTAACAAAATCTTTTCTGTTGCTTCAAAAATGAAAACTTCTTAAACTCTTTAAAAAAGTCACAATGAAAAACGTAGTACTATAAAAATATAAGCTTCCCATTTCCTAAACCAACAAGATTATACTTAAAAAGTTATAACCAGACAACCTCAAGCAATTTTTAATCTATACACCATTACATACAAGATGCTCACTTGAACAGTCAGTGTTAAATTCAAAGTCTCAACTAGATTGCAACACATGCCATTTGAAAAGCTGTAGTCAGTTTTGCCTGTTAACCATCTGAGTGAATGATTTGTGACACACAGGTGTTATCCAAGTTCCAATGACAAGTCTTTATCATCATCATCCTATCTGGACATTTTAGATAGTTATTCATTACTCTGCTAGTAAAGAGAAGAAATAAAATAGGCAGTTCTTTCCAAAGATGGAATTTCAGGTTTGGTTACCAAAACAATAAAGGCAGAGATGCTTCCAGATATCCTTTCCTGCCATGACTACTAAAGTAGAACATGATATAGAATTAGAGGAGGTAATGCAACTCACTGCAAAAATGTTCAGTTTGCTCTATGCAGATTATTATCAAATCATTTAAACATTCAAAAGGCTCATTCCAGAATTACCCTGGAAAAAGGTATGATTTCTTTTCAGTTTTTTCTCCCTGCCAATGGGACAGGCTAAGAAACACCCTTCAAGTTCCTAATTCTAATTTCTTTTATCTTTTAAATACTCAAGGTAAAACCAGGTGCAATGCAAATTGCACTGTTTAGTCCACTTACCCTATGAATAATCCCAGCTGAATGAAGATGTTTGATACCACACAGCATTTGATAAAGAAGATAGGACATTCGTTCATGGTCCAGCTCCATCTGAATCACTTGGCAAAGATTTGCATCCATGAGCTCCATCACTATGTAGCTTACGAAGGAAAAAAAAGAATAATCAGATAATACTGCCATTTTACTGTATTCTCTCTCTTGTTTGTCTTTTCATATGAATACTTTAAAAATAAATTCTCAGCTTTAGCTCAAATCTGACTTACACATCTTGAAATTCTTCCAGGGATTTTTGTGGTGTGAACACATTCAGTAGGCCGATTATCTGCAGGGAGGGGGAGAGGAAGGGTAATTGTACCACAGCAATAACAAAGCTGCAGAGCCAACATTTCAAAACTGGTTACTATTACTCTGATATGAACCTCCTAATATACATTGAAGCTCAGGATGCTCAGCAGCTCAACCAGGCCTAACATGATGTAAACAGATACAAATGATTTAGAAAGGAGTATTTTTCTTCCACAAATCACATAATCTAAAGACACTCTTGTGTGTTAACAAGATGATATTCAAACCTTAAAACCTAAGGAGCTTAGTCACTCTTGCCCTTCCTCCTACTTTCAGTCTGAAGACCTGGTAAGATTTGTTTTGTACATGAATAATAAAATTTAAACCTGACAAGGACTCCCTAAAAGATACTACTTTGCCACTGACTGAGGCAAAGAAACAGCTTCATCCAAACATAAAAACAGGTTCTTACAGATGCTTTAGGATATTTTACATTAAGAATGGATGGGATGTACAGAAAGAGGCCAAATTACTACTCATCAAGAATCAGGCAGGCTTGCAGTAGTTTATCATAATACAAATTATACTATTAGCTGGAACATCCTTCAGAGAATCCACATATAAACACATAGGAGAAAAATGACAAAATTTTACCAAAAAGCCACAAGACAGAGTAAATTTCCTATGACACTCTCCCTCCCTAGCAGCCAGAAGAAATGTTATCTTCCTGATGGGGGATTAAAAGAGAAGGTAACGATGACTGCACACATCTGACTCTGAAGGAAGAAAATGGCCAACACCAGCGTTCTGCAGTTCAACTCCAATAAATTTATCAGCTATTTGCTTCCCATTTCTGTGATCTTGTCTACTGCACAGCTTCATAAATACTGGACAGCTACTGCTGTCACAACGTAAGATTCTAAACCCATTTATTCACCGGGGGGAAATAAGGTATTACAGACTATTTTTTTTTCTCCTACGTGTCTAGCAGCAGGATGCACTTACCAACCATGGTACTCTTATTTGACAGCTACTTGCAAATTTCAGCAATATAACACTGACTCTTGCTGAGTTTGAAGGGGGTATTTAAAGATTGGTCAGGTATTAAAACTAGTCAATTATAGCTCTTCTGCAAGACCCTTTTGTATTTATCATGGAGATACAATTATGCAATGGAAATCTCTGAAGTCACTTTCCAGACTTTTACAAAGGATAACCCTCCAGTTAATTCTTCAAGATCTGAAGCAGGACACGACACTCACATTTTTGTGGTTAACGCACTTCATAAGAACAAGCTCTCTGTAGGCTCTTTTAGCGTGGGTTTGGTTCTGGAACGGTCGGCTTAACTTCTTGATTGCAACATTCCGCTCTAGGATGGCATCGTAAGCTGCACTGTAATTAAAAATAACATTATTACATCCCTAGTGTCAAGGTCCTTTAAGCTGTGGCAGTTACAAACATTTTTAGCTACTTTATATCATGTCTGCAGAAACCCCAAATTTTGAGTGTTATCCAGCTTCAGGAATATGATATAGCAAAGTGCTCTTTTATGTTGAGGGATTCAAAATTTAAAAATATTTCCCAGCTTCAGAGCATTAACACATAACAATCTTTACAATATAATGCAGTATTTCTGCTTCCAAAGATACCGAGTTCTTGCCACTCATTGGCACTCAAGAACAGACCATCTACAAAAGATCCAAAATACTTGAAACATAAAAAGCACATGAATTTTATGTAAAATCTTCACACTAAAAGGGAGAAGGCAGGAAAAGTAGGTAATAAAAAGGTCCCATGCTTTCAATTATTTAGTTGCTTAACATCCTGATGATAATAACAGCAAAGTTAAGCCAAAAAACTGTGAAGAAAGCTTTAACTTCTAGATGTCACTGGCTTTAAGTTGGTGAAAAAAAGCACAACATTTTGTTTGCAGACTAATACCAACATTGTCATACAATTCAGTAACACAGGCTGTTTAACTGGTGAAAACTGTTATTGGAGACAACTCCCTTACATATCACATTTCCAGGACAGGAAGGCATGGCTTGTTTTTCTTGTAAGAGCTAATACAACAGCTGACTGCCATGCAGACTCAGGAAATATTTATGAGTTACTAAAAAAGTCTCAGCAGGGAAAATATTATTTTCGTATCTCTTCTCAAGAATGGTACTCCAATCTAATGAAGAGTATCTGCTACTAAACAGTAGCATCTATTAAATTCAACTCACTACTTTAAGAACTGGATTGCCTATGTAGTAAGTAGGCTTGAATGATTTCTAATTTATCATCAACAAAACCTCTAGACACTACTAAAGAAAAAAAATGGGAACAACATGTCTAATAACTTTCTTTAATATACATTTTCCACTATATCTGGAATTCCCCCATCTACACCAAAGATAAGGATTATTTTAGGAAAGGTGGCCAACATGGGACTCCTGTTCTAGTATTAAAACTTCTGCATTCCCTGTACATAACAGCAGCTTGGAGCCTGTTTCAGTATCAGGCCATCTACTTAATAGTCCTCCAAATCAAGCTGGATCAGTTACAACAACAAAAAAAAAAACAACAAACAAACAAAACAAAACCACACACAAAAAAAACAAAAAACAAAGAAACAAAAAAGAAACAAATACAAACCATCACCACTGACAACAAAAACTCCAATCCAAAGAATTGCACTGTATGGATATACATGTGCAAGATTTAACCGCAGGCCTTGTCAGGGTAAGCTGTGATTTAACTAAAAAGGCTTCAATTACACCACCAGCAGCAATTACAGAATGGCCCTAGAGTAATTACTTGGTGAGTTTTGGGATCTCTGCTCTAGGAAGGGCAATAAATTTGGAAAACAGGCAGTAGTTAACATACAACTGGCCATCAGAAGGACAGCAATAACAGCTAAAGCTTTTATTGGCATTTCTATAGCAACTAAACAAATTAGTCAAGCAGCTGTCTACATCCTCAGTATGTTAACACATATGCAAATAAAATTCAGATCAGTTATTCTGTTGCTGCTAGTTAACACCTGTAATCTTAATGCCAGAAGTTACAATTTCAAAAACAACTCTTTCTAGCATACTTTCTTCAAATTTCCATTTGCACTTACTACACTGTTTTATTAATCCTGCTAAAACACAAACATTAATTAGAAACCCACCAATACCACGTATTTTCTCTACACTGATCAAAAACAGGATCAAGACAGTAAAGAGGTGACACAATTGAGATTACGCTCTTCCCTAACTTTCTCTTCCTTGATGCTTTTGTATTTTTATGTACCTGGTTTACATCCTAAGAATTACAATAAACTGCAGAATTTGCAAGGTCCTGTGATATTTACATCTTTCTCAAATATTCAAGAAAGCTACCAGGAAGGTTAAGCCTTTGAGGCAATGCAACTTCACAGGAAACAGTGCCTACAAGCAGCTAGTTGTCAACAACTTAAATCAAATGGACAGTTTTCAGTCCATACACTAGAGCTCTTATTCAAAGAATGACGGCGTCAGGTCATACTTTCCCAAACTGCATCATGTACTTCCTATGACAACCATTGTGCTCACCCAAATGCTCACTCACTGGTATCAAGGACTACTTGGATTGTGAAAAACTCCTAACAAACTTCAAGAAGTGTGAACATTTACAAGCAGAAAATATTATATACAGTATTTCTGGCTTTTGTTTCACAGCAAGCAGTGTGGTTTAGGATTAGGATTAGTTTCTTTATCCAGTTTCTTTTTCCCCCATTAATTTACAGGACTCAGCACAACTGGCTGAATTTGCACAGAAGGTCATCAATTTTAAAGCTGAACAGGTCAAAAAGCAACAGCAAGCCCTTGCTGAGGAAAAATGGTCAGCAGTTACCATTGCTGTTTTGCCTGTAAAAGGTAATTTTCCACACTCCTGGCTCTGTAACATACAACACCTCAAAAAACTACATTAAGGAAACATAAAGGTAAATTTAAATCTTAAAGAAACCTTACCATACTATCCCTTGTGCTCCTGATCCTATTGGTTTCAAATTCTGATACCGTTTTAATACGGTGAAAGTTGAGTCCCCAATTTCAACGCTATAGAAATTGTTGTCACGCTTGCTCCTGCTCATGACGGCAACTTGGTTAGTTCACTTCATCCAAATTTTTCTTCTGGCCTATAAAGACATAAAATTGGAAAAACTAAGATTTTACAATATATGTAACGTGACATAAGGCAAAACTCTTTTTAAGAAACACAAGACACTTCCCAATAAGTCCCAAGTGCACATATAAGTTATTTTTTACTGGCAGCCCTCAGTCAGTCAAGATAAGAATATTTCAAAACTGAATTGTAAGATATTCCTGTGTGGTTACTATTTCTTCATATTGCCCTAAGCACTATTATCCAAGGAAGCACAACAAAAATGTAGGAATTAAAAGTAACACTATATCCAGAGTGAAATCACCTAAGGTATCTGCCAGGCTGGATGTAAGTTTTATTCTGAATTTGCTAACAGTAACTACAGTTCAACAGTTCTTCAGGAGACTTCAGGTGGTCAGCAACTTCCATTCCTCAGTTCTGTACAGCCTTATATAGCTGTAAAAACAAACATGGATGCATAAAACATAATGCTCCATGAAAATGCAAGTAGCATTTATCTATGAAAGTATCATAGCTAATCTTAAAAAGTATGCACACTTATAAATTGTTTCACTGACACTTCCACCTCCACAAGTGAATAAGACTAAGAATGAAGTCTGACCAAAAGTCTTCATCTAACTTTTAAATAAGTATGTTTAAAATAGTAAAGAAATCATGTATAGCATTGTTCATACCCAAATACGCATCTATTTACCATTTGCTTCTGCTTAAAGAAAGGCATGTACCTTTAACATGTCTCAACAAGAATGTTCTTAATATACTTGCTGACCTCAGGATATCTGGAAGAGAGTATAATGCTGTAGTTCAACACTAAATTTTGTCTCTAATACAGAAAACATTAAATTTATTAATCAAGCTACAGGACAATGTATGGACAGTATATGTTAAAAATGTTTATCCAGTACAGCCTAAGTATACTGGAGAAACAGATGGGTTTCGGATAGAAAGGTACTATGGAAAGAGAAGAGCTAATTATTTGTTTGTACAGCTTTCAATTTAAAAGCCCTACTGAAGGTGCATTAAAAACCTTAAAAATGGCCAGATATAAAAAAAAACACCAACAAAACCAAAACCAACAAAATACAAAAACTTGCAGTGGAAAATTATATAAACAACAGAAATATATTTGGCAAACTTGTCTCTGCAGAGTGTATAAAATGATTTCTTTAGAAGGCAGAGAGAGATGACTGGATACTCATTTCAGACCTTGTTTTATTCAATGCTTTTTACACATGCCCCTGGTCAGTGCTCCAAAGGGGCCTCCAGAGTAAGAGAGCTGTACCTCTGAGGACAGGCTCTGCAGTGCAATGAAGGCAAGGTGTCAGGAGCAGAGCTGGCACCAGCGTGGCTCCATCGGGGCTCACAGCTGTGCAGTGACACAGACAGTGGCACAGACAGTCACCAGGCCTGTCCTCACCGTATCATTCTGGCTGTGCTTGGCAACCTCAAATCTTGCAAACAGAGCTTTTGAAATTGGAGATCACTTTGAAAACAGTGCATAATTATGCTCAAGGTTACTTCACCTAGGCAGTGACCTGAATGCATGCATTCCAGGCATACAGAGGAACAGAAATGGAACAGGTTTTGTGAAAAAAAAGCACCTCTCACTTTAAATAAGAGCACAAAATATTTTACAACCTCTTTTGCACTCTCCCATCACTAGATATATTGACAATGAACAGGAAAGCTTCAAAGCTTGCATTAAAAACTGACAAAAACCATACATTTGAGAGGTGTCTCTTCTGTTCAGACAAAGAAACAGAACCCCAGTGATAATTTTTCCACTAGGGATAAGGAAATAGAATAAGCCAGAATATTGCCAACTTAAAAGGCAGAGAAACATTTGCTCTGTACAGCTGAGTCTCTAAGACTGCTCCTAAGTGCTGGTTTATACCTTCATTAGATAACACAACATGAAAATCCAGGATTCATCCTTTGCTATAATGCATAGTATCCTACTCTAGGAGTACTCTTTTATGCAACAAATTATATATACTCAGCTTATTTCTACTTCAGTGAAGAAGTACAGCTGAGAAGATACTTTTCATACCCTAAAATACAACAAAACATAAGAAATGAGAATAATGAGAGATGGGAACAACCATTATTAACTACAAGTTTTGCATTAAATCAGACTTGGTTTTCATGATCATGACTTCTAAAGCAATCCTCTCCTAAACAAGCAAGCATCAAGTGGACTAAGTCTTGGAAGAAACTTTGGATGCTAAGCCAGCAAACAGTCTTTGGGACAAGACATGTCTGAGGTACAACAGAAACACCAACTAGCAGCAATCTGTCTACCTGTGCTACAGTGAAAGATTACTACAGGCGCTGCTCAGAAGTAGGACTGACAAAAAATGAAGACTATGAGAGATACAGAAATGGAAGAAGGCAATTTTAAAATAAAACAATTACCTATATTAACACATTAAATAGTAATATAATCAACATAATATAGCAACATAAGCTACCTATCAATGATGATTCAATAACTCCATTTAGAAGGCATCTACCACCATGAAAATTAATGTTCTGTAGGAATCTGTGTTTGACCTAGAAAACTCCAACAGTTCTTCAAGTACATGCTAGTTTGCTACTGAATGCAAAACAAATAGACAGTGTATACAGAGCTCTTGCATTAATGAATTTTATTTAATTTGTGAAAATACTGTTCACACAAAGCTGATTTGTATGCATTACATGTTTTTGAATGCTTGTCTAATTTTCAGCTGTCAGGTTTAAAAGTTTCTGGACACCTGCTAAATGGGTAGTGCAAACACAGCCTAGTTTTCACATATGCTTGCGTCAAAGGCTCAAATTTAGAAAACAAAAAATTGTTTCTAAAGGTAATTTCATAGCTCATTCAATTAGTCTCAGAAGTAATAATGGTTTTAATGTTTTGTTTGTCCATGCTGCCCTCGAAACTGAATGTTGTATTTTGCAATGCTTCCAGCTCTGTTAAATATTAATGCAGATAAAGCATTTGGAAAAAGGACTTAATATTAGCTGTGTGAAAACCACAGCAAGATATTACTAAGCCATTACAAATGCCAAAAATGTCTAAAAGTCTGAATGGTCACTGATGACTGTAGGATTTGCATGGCTTTCAAATTACACTTTCACAGATCAGATGGTTTTAAGCTGAACAACCTCCACACAGTTGCCTGAACTACTCCCAATGCTAACAGAACTCTGGTACAGAGAACTCTGCCCTGCTCACACCACGCACAGGACAAGTGGCACAGCACAAACTGAAAGTCTACAGCTCTGATCTCGGGTTACAACTATTAAACAAAACCACAAATATACTGGAGTGATTCTTGTATAGCTCAGGTCAGAAGCACAGCGCAGGTACGTTTCTTAAAATAACTACATTTTAACCAAACTCTACACCAAGCAGTCAAACTTCACTTGTTACAGATTCAGTAAAGCAAAGGTGAGCATTAGATCTCAGTGTTCACCAGGAAAAGAAGACAAGAGGACATTTAGATTTCCATGTAATGACCTGCCTATTGCTTTCAAGTTCAAACAGAAAAGGGTAGGTGCCGCTCCAGTTTACTCAAAGACAAGAAATTTAAGACACATTTAATTTTTTTAAACTTTAAGACAGTTAAATTTTTTATATCCATTTATATATGGAGAATTCAAAGCCAATTACGTGAATTCCCAGAACCTGTTGAGTATTCAACAATAAACAGATGGCTTTCTCCACTAAAGATGGTAATTTCAAAAAAGATAACAGGTTTGGTATAGAAAAATAAATTTGGCTATAAAGCAAAATATTCCTGAGTACACAATAGCAAATGAAACTTAATAAAGTGTAATATGGGCTGTTTAAATAAAGGAATTACTTCACTGGTTTGGCAAACATTGTTGCCAGATTGATAAATCTCTTGCACAGAGTTAGAGCTCTGTGTTAATCCAACTCTGCCCTTGGTACAATTTAACAGGTAACAACTACATAGAGTCCTAAATTAATAAACAATGAACAAAATCCACTAATACAAATGCAACCTTTGCCATAATTTAATGTTGCAGTTTACAGGTTCATGTAGTTACTAACAACATGCTCCAGCTGGATCACATGATGACTTTTTCTAGTCATCTAGGAAAGTAGATACAGTTTTCTTCATAGGTATCTGCCATCTCACCTTATTAAGATAGCTACTGTAATTTGAGGAGTCTGCTAGAAGGGGAGGACATACAGGGAAATAAACCACCCCCTTCTCCACTCCAGCAGTCTTTTCTTGGCCAGTAGTCACCTTATTACAGTTTCTATAAAATAGATGATCATCTATTTGAAAGTAATTGCAATGGACTGAACTTAATGATGCAATCCGAAAGTCACCTGGAGGCCCTTTTATAACAAGGAGGTGCCTACTACTCAAAAAGCACAGGTTCACAGTGTCTGACAATCTGATTTTAGTCTTCATAACTGATGTCTTTCCCCAGATTCCAGTTCTGTTTGGAACAGACAAGTAATCCTATTACCTTACATAAAGGGAGCTTTCTTGCAATGCTCAGTTCCATATATAAGTATATAAAAGAGCCTCAAGAGCCACAAGGTCCCAAGAATTTTGACCCTGATTAGTACTGACTGAAGAGTTTTTCCAGATTCTGAATCAAAACAGAAATAAATATTTAAAATTTACCAAGGAGAACATGAAGACAAAAATAACAACAAAGCAGAACCTGAATTAGTAAAGGCACATTTGGGTGGCTTTTAACCCCGTCTGTAAAGCATACAATGAAGATGATGGAGATTAGAATCCAAGTGCCCTGAGGATGAACTGAGGATGTTCTAGGGAAACACCAGAGGTACTGATAAATGCTACTCAATTTATCAAAAATTCTTCAACAGACTCCGTGCTCAGCCCTCTATTTTTGTCTCTTACAAAAATAGCTGAACTTTTACCTTTTATACTTTTGTAGAAGAATTTGAGGGACAGGAAAGGAGAAACTTCTTCATAGAAAAAACAACTAGCAATTTTTTGTTTTATATCTAAATTACAT